TCTAGCAGTCACTGGGAGATGTAAATAAATGGTATCAAATACCGACACAGTGGAAATATAAACACATATGCAGTATAGTGTGATCCTTTATTGACAACGTTTCACCCACACAGTGGGCTTGAAAAAGCCCACTGTGTGGGTGAAACGTTGTCAATAAAGGATCACATTATACTGCATATGTGTTTATATTTCCACTGGGAGATGTGACGGAGCCAAGTAGCGTGTAGAGGTGTTTCGGTAAGTTTTAAGCCATGGGTTGTTTTTGGTAAAAATTTGTACTCCTAAGTTTGCCCTAGTACTGGGTAAGACCTGGTGAAGCTGAGTAACTCGCAGGCTGGAAACTGATTGGGAAGTATGGCGATATTTAGGCGCCTTTAGTGTTTTATCCCCTTGTGGCCTAGTTATGATCCTTATGGGTTTAGCATTTGGTTTTGATTGTAATAATAATAATGTGACCTAACTTTGAGCAACTTGTCGAAGTGTACTGTTGTATGGTATTTTTTTAATGGTGTTGTGTATGTAGTGTTACTTATAATACAGTATATATTTATGTACATGTAAGTGTATCTGCCCCTTCCTGGTAATTGGTATATTATGTAATATGTTGTATGTGTACCTAGGTAAGGTTGTATGTGTACCTAGGCGCCAAGAATATTTCATAACAACGACGACCACCATCTCCCACCACTATCCTTCCCACACCACCACCACAACCACCACCACAGCCCCACATCCAAACGCAACTGACTTGTGCTCCTCTACCTATGCAAACATCATCATTACAAGTATCGTTCTCATTACTCACCTCACACAATATATGTCTACTCCACTAATCCTATACCAAGAAACTTACCAACAGACCTCAGACTTTCTTCACGAGGGAGCTTATTATAATTTCTGATCAGCCGGTCTGTAGTGAGTACACTGGAGTGGGTACAGCTAACACCAACAGCCCGTCTGAGCCTGCTATGAACCGAGAGGCCTGGTCTAAGACACAAACAAACCAAGGAACGGGTGGGGTTTTGAACCCATGGCAAGTGAGCCCTAAAACTCTATACCAGTGCGTACGTCAATGGGCCAGCTGGCTACAGTAAGATTCATCCAACTAGGTATATTTCTATACATCATAGAGAAGTTAGCATGGGCACTACAGTGACCACAAATGCAAGTTTTTACAGATGAATCTCCCACCAGTTCGTATTATAGTACATAACAAGAAGGAAAATTATCAACCACAAGTGGCAAATTATAGAATGAATTACAGAAACAACTCAAGACATAGTATTGTAGATGAATGGTTCAGAGAACCGACATATTGATAAATTAGACACATGTGCAACTCTTGGGTATCTTTATTGAGGAAACGTTTCGCCACACAGTGGCTTCATCAGTCCATACAAAGGAGAATCTTGAAGAACCTCATTCTCCTCCTGTTCTTCAAGATTCTCCTTTGTATGGACTGATGAAGCCACTGTGTGGCGAAACGTTTCCTCAATAAAGATACCCAAGAGTTGCACATGTGTCTAATTTATCACCAAGACATAGTAGCTGTCGTATAAATGGTACTGAAATAGCAGATGCGATGTATCCTGCAGGGTATCAAGTACTTTGTAAAGAATAAAGATCAAATATTGGGGAAGAACGTCAGTGTTAATCAGTGGAGGTTCTGGAGATAAACCTAGGGAGACAACCCAAATTGTGGAAGCAATCTTGACTCTAGAACCTTAGATGGTAGTAGCAGCAGTGATATACAACCCACCCATACAGACAAGTATATGTGTATGACACATATGCAGCTTCCGTATCTTTACTGTGGAAATGTTTCGCCTGCTCAGCAGGGTTCACTAATGGAATCATAAGTGACCTAAATAATGGAGACAGTAGACACAATTAAATACTGGAGATCGCAGGATACCAAGACGGAAGGAGGACAACAGCAGAGCAAGAGTTGATAATATGTAGTGAAAGTTGCAAGAGAATGCAATCTTAAATATTTTTAACTCTTTAGACAGTTGCCTAAATAGAATTAGATTTAGAGAATTTGGAAGTGCATGGAGGGCAGGACATGGAGTGAACTAAATGATGGAGGTAGTGATGGAAATTTTAATGTATTAGCACATAGAAGAGAAGAGCTTACGACGACGTTTAGGTCCGACTTGGACCATTTACAAAGTCACACTAACGAAAAGGAGAGAGGGAGGGGTATATATAGGGGTATATTACTACCACCTCCTGCCTATATATACCCCTCCCTCCCTCCTTTTCGTTAGTGTGACTTTGTAAATGGTCCAAGACGGAATGAAACGTCGAGGTAAGCTCCTCTCTTCTATGTGCGGGTTATTTGTGTATCGTTCCAGTCACGGTATTGTGCCTTTCTTGTTATTCATATATTAACATTTGAAAGATGCAAAAAAAGAGGGAATAAATTATTTAGTTAGGCTCTGCTTTCCACTGTAAAAACAGCTGATACAGGAGAAATAAATTATAAGGGCGTCTAGATGCTAGTAAACCTACAGAAGTAAACTACTATCACCCTGTACAGGTAAACTTGGAAGGGAGCACAGCTGGAGAGGGAGAGGATCAACCATACTTCTGACGAAGGAATTATGAAACAATGAGGGGAGTTTCTGAATGCAGTACAAAGAGAAAGGAAACTGGAAGGTAAAAAGAATAATGAGATGATGGCGTAGCATGTTAGAAAGTGTCGAGAGTGAAGGAGGAGGTGGAGGAGGAGGGAATCATAACGGGAGGTGGCAACGATAAGGTCAGAGAGAGCTCCTGGTTCACACACACACACACACACACACACACACACACACACACACACACACACACACACAATGCATATAACTCAAAAAAAGAATGAAACGAATGATCAGAGGAAACATGATAACAGTATACAAGGTAATTAGAGATATCAAAATAGTAGGATAAAATAGTCCGTCTAGGGATGATTGAGACAGAATGACGAGACAAAGTTTGATACTGATATCTAAAATAAGCCAGAGAGAGATATTACCAGATCTTAAGGAGAGGATACTAAGCAAAGGAATACACTGGAGGAGGCAATAAGGGCCAGTTACTTACTACATGATTTCAAATATGTGTTGCAATAAATCACAGGAGGGTTGAAAATCAAGGTTCAGAAATTGCAACTCGAACGGCTAAAATAAGTTAGCATACACGCAGGAGGTGTAATCAACATTTCTGTGTTGTCGTTCCCTTGTTTCCACCTCAGACGAGTGTGTATTCTCACTCTTTCTCTCACTCTAGGTGTCGCCTCCATTACGGTATCAGCTTGATAATCAACAGTGTTCCCCAGACACTCCCCCCGGGTATTGTCTCCGTCACAGCATCAGTGTGTTGATCACTACCTTCCACAGGCTTCTCCCCCGGGTATTGTCTCCGTCACAGCATCAGTGTGTTGATCACTACCTTCCACAGACTTCTCCCCCGGGTATTGTCTCCGTCACAGCATCAGTGTGTTGATCACTACCTTCCACAGACTTCTCCCCCGGGTATTGTCTCCGTCACAGCATCAGTGTGTTGATCACTACCTTCCACAGACCCTCCCTCCCCCTTGCAATGTTAGGCTCTGCAGTACGTGTGTTGATACTCACAACTGCTGCCATCACGTGGTCAGGTTTAAAAATATGAATAATTCCGTCAAACACTATTAAACTGAAGGAGAATTTGTCTAAAAGTTACAAAGTTGGATGTCTTTTCGGCCATTCACGGACATGACAAATATAACAGTGAATGTGAATACAGCTACTAATGAATAGGAGAAGAATATGGTTGAAAGTGATAAAGTCGGGCCTTCCTTTGATCATTATTGGATATGATGATACTCTGAGTGAAAGTGGTTACAGGCAACACTTTCTGAACGTTAGGAATATGATGGCAGACAAGCAGACTGGTCGAGTGTTGTGGGTCGCACACCATGGGGAAGTGGAACAGAATTCTTCCTCCGTAAGCTATGCGTGTTGTAAGAGGCGACTAAAATGCCAGGAGCAAGGGGCTAGTAACCCCTTCTCCTGTATATATTACTAAATGTGAAAGAAGAAACTTTTGTTTTTCCTTTTGGGCCACCCCGCCTCGGTGGGATACGGCTGGTGTGTTGAAAGAAAGAATATATATATATATGTGTGTGTGTGTGTGTTGTGTGTGTGTGTGTGTGTGTGTGTTGTGTGTGTGTGTGTGTGTGTTTGTGTGTGTGTGTGTGTGTGTGGTGTGTGTGTGTGTGTGTGTGTCGTGCCAGATAGGTAAAAACTTGCGATTTGGCTTAAATAGCAAAGTTCTTCTTGCCGGAATAAAGTAAGCGAAAATTTGTGTATGCAGTAATTTAGCAAAAATCCTTCTGAATTTAACGAAAAATATATTTCACTGTGTTTGTTTAGTATTAAATTATTGTAAACAAATCTAAAATATATTTAGTTGGGTTAGGCTAAAATAAATTGCGCTTGTTATAATAAGGTTAGGTAAGTTTTCTAAGGTTCTTTTGGTACAAAATTATTAATTTTTATATTAACATAAATGAAAAGAATATGTCTTTAAACGTATTAGAGAAAATTTTAGAAAGGACTTAATTTTAAATGAGTTCTTGCTAAATGACCAGTTTTACCTATTCAGCACGACACATATGAGTGAGCTCGAGAAATGTTATACAGTCGTCTTCAAACATTAAAGTGCACAATAAGACTATCAGATGCTCAATATGAAAATTGTAGATTATGTTAAATTACTTGTACTTTCTAATAACTTTTTGTTAAATATTTAAAGAGACGACTCCATCATTATATCAGTTAGCCTTAATTAACCATACAAATCACTCTCTCATAACTATGTGCTAACTCACTGAAAAAATCTCTTAATTAGATTTCCATTAAGTCCGTTCAGAATCCACTATACCATGGCACTTTACGAGACCTCGGTACTAACACACTAGAGCACAGAATAATGGCGGCTGGTTTGTCAATAGCCAGGGTACACTACGATACCTTACAGAGGAGGGTTAGTAGGTAGAGCAGTGTTGTGTAGATGGTGATAGCTGAGGGGGTCACTACACAAGTGGAGGCTACGAGAGCTGTGCCTCTAGTGGCTCCTTGACACTGTGCCTTGGCCTCTTCTACCCTGGACCCCGCCCCTGCCTCTCCTGACGGTGGTGTGGGCGTGCAGGCTCCTCCTGCAACAACCCACACACAACGCCTCTACCTGATTTCACCTTTTCCCTCTCGAAGGTTTTTAATTTTTGTGAATGTTGTTAATCTTTTTTGAATTGTGATCAAAGAAATATAAGTGTATAAGTCTGCTGTATCCAAGAGTCACATGCATTTATTTACTCAAATTTGCGTTATATGTTAGTAACATGCATAGATGGTACGTTTTATACTGGAACTAGTGTATTAATACCGTGTTGTATAGAACTATGTATAGATCTCTTGTATAGATCTATGCTAGAACTATAAAATTAGTAACGAGGTGTAGCACAGTACATACGTTATATCCACGAACTTGTTTTAGTAACATGTTGTATAGTACGTACGTTACATGCTAGAACTGGTGTATTAATAACATTCATAGCACATACGAGGAACGCCGTCTTTTACACTACTATGTTACCAAAAGTTCGAGATTTTAATCTAAGGTTGACGGAGCACATTGAGGCAGACAAGTGGAAATAAAAAACACAGGTCAGAGATAATTCCTGTCCATACAACGCCTCACCAATCCCTGGGTGAAACTGTGTATTAAGAAGGATTCCCTGCTACTCAGTCTTCTTTCAGAGCACCTAGAGAGGGAAGTATTTATAAGTATTTATAAGTAAAAGCTGCCTCGATTCAGCCTAGTTAGTTACTGACAAAAAAGAAGAGCATCAGGGTTGGATGGACGGCATATTTCTTGACAACTTATTAATCTATAACTTAGATAAACAGAAATTAGTAATGGGAAAGTGCTCAAGTGGATCAAGGAGCACCTGACAAACTGGACTTAGAGAGTAACAGTTGTGGTGGAAGAGTGAAAATGTGTGCAGGTAACAAATGGGACGCCATGAAGTCTGGGATTCGTGAAGTATTTAGCTCATGGTACTGAATTATGCGTGTGCATGTTTGCTGATGATAGATGAACTAAATAAGGAAGATGAGGGTGAAGAAGGGAAGCATATTCCTGGGTGACCTGCAGAGACTGTAAACTGGACCCTCACACCACTTTCAGAATTCAGCCCAAGCAAATGAAAAGTAAAAATGATTATGAAAAGAGAAGGGAGACCAGAAATAGGGTACATCCTAGGGAAAGAGAATCTGGCCACGACACAGAAAGGACCTTGCTAACACAATCTAAGTAAACATTATTACCTGAGAAGCACATAAGCCTAATAACATAGGCAGTATAAGCAAGACTCAAATCTTAGAATAACATGAAAAACTCTAAGTAATTAATTATTTACATCACCATAAACGCTGTATTTATTGTTTATGGAGTACGCAGACTCAGTATAGAACCACCACTTAAAAGAAATCACATGTAAAACCTTCGGAATGTCCAGAGGTTTGCGAGGAAACTTGTCCCAGCGCTCAGAGGATTAAGATTCCTGGAGAGTCTCAAAGAATTTAATTTAATGGACCTGGAGGAAAGGATGAAGAATGTGAGGTTGTGATCACGACGGATAAAATCTTGAGAGGTATCGACAGCATCCATGTTGTAGGACTTGCTTTTGTTGGGTCTACGTTTCACTATATTAGAGGACCAAGAAAGCGAAACGTTGTCCCAACAGAAGCTTGTCGGCAGTGCTACATAAAAAGCCATCGAGAGGGCAGACAGACGCGTGTTGGAGAGGAGACGGTCCAAAACAACGTTACATTGATAAAAGATAAGGATCACGATTAGCCGCAGGACGTCAGAAAGTATATTAATCTCAGAATGATTAAGAATTAAAAGGTGCTGGAAAAGGTGGAAGATCCCTCCTCTGAAAGTTTTAAGAACAGGTATGACAGAGCCTGGGAGGCTCCAAGCCCTGGAAATGTCGGTCAAGACGACCCAAAAGGCGGAGTCACGAGCAGTGAGTCGAACCCCCTCAAATATATGCCGGAGAGTACACACACACACACACACACACACACACACACATTTCCTGCGTCATCTTAAAGATTCGACCTTAACCAGGACTTTCACGGCAGTTTCACCCCTTGTTGGGGAGGCTTGACAGATGGGCGTGTAGGCGGGCAAGAGTGTGTGAGGGGCACTGATGTTAGTGACGGGGAGCAACTTACAAGGACGGTCGCTGTTACTCGAAAAATATATATCAAGAACGTGTTACATAAACGCTATTATTATTTTACTCTACCATAAACTACAGCATTTATTAATAGTTAATATTGTTTTTTTTTTAAGCTCTGAACCTAGATAAATCCAAATTATAATACAAACTTGCGCAGTTTCTAGTCATTTGCATTTGTCTTTTCTCATTTCGATAATGCCGCTGTTATATGTGCTAATTTAAATATTTACTCTTTTGTGATGTACACTTATGTCAAATATGTTTTTAAACATTTAAGTAATCAATGTAAAGACGGAATGGCGACAAGTGAGAGTTTGAAGAACAAGCTTTCACCGGACACCACTTAGTTGTACCCAGTGGTAAAGCTTTGCAAGTGTGCTCAAGCAAAGTGGAAAGTTGAAAAAAAGATTTAAATTAAATAAATGAAAGAACAGTTACAAACATCCACAAGTTACTGAATGAAACATGTTAAAGTCAAATGTTTAGTCAACTTTAAAAAATATATATGAAGAATGTCGACGATACAATCCATTACGGTGAAAGCAGAAAATATTTGAGATCCTAAAAACATGTTAAATATCACAATATTTTCCTGGAAATTAACTTTGGATGCCTAAGATTTGATCCCGAAACCCCTGAAATTTAAGGTTTTAAAATATTCACAAAGGCAGCAAAGAAATTACTAATTAATGTTTAGAAGGAAAAAACAAAAGGAATAAAGAAGATATCACAAAGATTTATACTAAAATAAGAAGAAAAAATAAAGAAAGTGATACTTTTCTTGACTAATAACAATAAAACGACATTTATTTCCAGAACTAATCTGCTCAGAAATTTAAACAATTTTGTGTACACAATAACACCGTGAGTTAGAAAAATTAAAATTTTTCTTTATATTATTTCATTTTTGTACCAGTTTTTTATTTCTTGGTAAATAAATATTTATCCATTTTACAATGTACATTATTCTGTGAGCATTTACCACTGAGTTTCTCAAGAGAGAATTTAATGAGGGATAATTATTATATATCAGAGCAAGAGAAACAAGAGACCTGAGTTAAGTTTATTAGGTTAAAGCCTCAGATGATGTAAATGAAGGTATGATGCAACATAGTGTACGAGTATATGTAGTATGTGGACCTTATGTGTGCCACTCAGATACAGGTGGTTCCTGTGTGTGTGCCACTCAGATACAGGTGGTTCCTGTGTGTGTGTCACTCAGATACAGGTGGTTCCTGTGTGTGCCACTCAGATACAGGTGGTTCCTGTGTGTGTCACTCAGATACAGGTGGTTCCTGTGTGTGTCACTAAGATACAGGTGGTTCCTGTGTGTGTCACTCAGATACAGGTGGTTCCTGTGTGTGTCACTCAGATACAGGAGGTTCCTGTGTGTGGGCACTCAGATACAGGAGTTCCTGTGTTTTGTTTACTAAGATACAGGAGGTTCCTGTGTGTGTGTCACTCAGATACAGGTGGTTCCTGTGTGTGTCACTCAGATACAGGTGGTTCCTTTGTGTGTCACTCAGATACAGGAGGTTCCTGTGTGTGTCACTCAGATACAGGAGGTTCCTGTGTGTGTCCCCTCAGTACAGGTGGTTCCTGTGTGTGTCACTCAGATCAGGTGGTTTCCCGTGTGTGTCACTCAGATACAGGTGGTTCCTGTGTGTGTCACTCAGATACAGGTGGTTCCTGTGTGGTGTCCCTCAGAAAACAGGGTGGTTCCTGTGTGTGTCACTCAGATACAGGTGGTTCCTGTGTGTGTCACTAAGATACAGGAGGTTCCTGTGTGTGTCACTCAGATACAGGTGGTTCCTGTGTGTGTCACTCAGATACAGGTGGTTCCTGTGTGTGTCACTCAGATACAGGTGGTTCCTGTGTGTGTCACTCAGATACAGGTGGTTCCTGTGTGTGTCACTCAGATACAGGTGGTTCCTGTGTGTGTTTACTCAGATACAGGTGGTTCCTGTGTGTGTCCCCTTTAGATACAGGGTGGTTTTCCCGTGTGTGTCACTAAGATACAGGAGGTTCCTGTGTGTGTGTCACTCAGATACAGGTGGTTCCTGTGTGTGTCACTCAGATACAGGTGGTTCCTTTGTGTGTCACTCAGATACAGGAGGTTCCTGTGTGTGTCACTCAGATACAGGTGGTTCCTGTGTGTGTCACTCAGATACAGGTGGTTCCTGTGTGTGTCACTCAGATACAGGAGGTTCCTGTGTGTGTCACTCAGATACAGGCGGTCCCTGTGTGTGTCACTCAGAGTGATCGTGGAAAACACTCAATCCTGTGTCTTCGGCTCAATAAAACTCAGCCACTTTTAGCATGCTTAAAACTGCAGCCACAACTATAATTAAGAGTATGAATTCTGTTAAATTAGACACATGTGCAACTCTTGGGTATCTTTATTGAGGAAACGTTTCGCCACACAGTGGCTTCATCAGTCTATTTTCTGTATTCGACTGAAGAAGCCTACTGTGTAGGCGAAACGTTTCGGAATAAAGTTGTCTAACTGTTGCATATGTGTCTTACCTAACACACATAGGAGAAACTTGAAGAACAGGAGAATGAGGTAATCAGTCCCTCAACCTTGAGTCGATGTGGTCAGTCCATCAATCTTGAATAGAATGATTACCTCATTCTCCTCCTGTTCTTCAAGTTTCTCCTATGTATGGACTGATGAAGCCACTGTGTGGCGAAACGTTTCCTCAATAAAGATACCCAAGAGTTGCACATGTGTCTAATTTAACAACATGTCGGTTCTCTGAACCATTCATCTACAAGCATGAATTCTGGTTGCATCTGACAGATTGTAGTTACAGAAACCTCA